TCTAATTTTTATTAAGACTTTTACAGGTATAATGAGGGATGGATGCATAATATGATCTGTGTGTTGTATGTCTAAAACTCAGAAATGTTATGTTGAAAATGAAGTAGTTTATACAATAGTTTATTAGTAAGCTTAAAGTCTAAATCTATGATATCAGCGATAGTCTATTTTAGCATAGCATTAGATTATAAAAGAACAATGTACTCATGTAAAAGAAAAGAGTTGAATTGAAAATAAAACAAGAAAAAACAGAACACTCAAAAGTATTGTGCTCCATAGTGAGACTATTAATTAAAATTGCTAAATTAGTAGTGTGATTGACGATACCAAAAAAGAAAATTTCCGATTAACAAATTTACCTCGTTTAGTACTGCTAGCTTGAAAAGAGGATAATCTGAAAGATCGCGAAAAGACAATGGCAAAGATTATCTATAGAAGCATAAGAATGAGAAACAAGAGGAACAATAGTTAATAGAAAATCCAATCAAGTCAAATCACACACCTTGAATAAAGAAATCTACTTACCTGAACATTATGCAAGTTCTGGTCCCGAGAAGTGACAGACTTACCAAAAATTACGTTTACACTAGGCATTTAATTAAATTGTTAAATTGGTTTAGAAAGTAATGTTTGCCTTTAACTAATATACTTTTTTTAATTTTTGATGTTTTTTTATAGGGTTTAATTATAACTCAATTTGAATTGACAATTCAAAAAAGAGGTTTTGGGTTGAAAATTGAAACCAATTAAATATTTTAAATTAAATATTATTTAATTATAATATATAAATATAAATATAGTTTATTACTATTAAAATATATTAAAGATCTTTGAAAATTAATATATAAATTTTTGTTCTGAAGTTTTTTAACAATAATGAAAGTCTTTGAAGGTTTACATTCAAAGATCTTCAAAAATCTTTTTCCAAAAATTTTTTGATAATCTCTAATCTTAATTTCAACTATTATAACTAAAGATAAGTCTTTAAATTAAAGACAAGGACATAATTCAAATGTTTTTTACTATTTAAAAAGTTTTTTTTTAAATATAAGATCAAAAAAAAAACAATTTATAAAGATTTTTTGCAATTTAGGTTACTTGATCCAAGTATTTTTTGAATTATGTCCTTATTAAAATAATAAATAATTAATTATGTCTTTTCAAAAAAACATAATTAATTTGCAAAATTTTATATACCAAATAATTTAAAGACCTATCTTTAATTATAACATTATTTTTCTAAATAATTCTGAGTAGACATATATAATTGCTCGATATTATTTAATCAATATATTAGTTTTAGAATTTTTTTTTTAATAGAAATTAAATTATTTTTATAGGCAATTTAATATTAAACTCATTGCAATCTATATATGAGAGATGTTGTTTTTTTTCTAAAAGTATATTTTGTAATATATAAATAAATAAAAAAATAATATTTACTTATTCAAAAAAAAAAAACATCAAAAAATTTTCAAAAAAATTAAATAACAATAAAGAAAAAAAAATTAAAAAATTATTTAATTTTTATAAAAATTTATAATAATATTTTTTATAATCTAATGGATAAGTTTACTTAAGAATATTTAACAAAAAAATTTTTTATTATGTTTTCTTATATAGAATTTATATTACAAATAAAATTGGTTTTGAATTTTATCATTTAAAAATTGTAAAATTTATTTTATTTATATAAAAAAATTTTTTATAAAATTTTACCTTAATTTAACAAAAAAAATTTTTTTGATATTAAATATAAATTTAATAAAAAATTTAAAAATATTTTTAAAAAACCAATAAGACAACTATTTCTATTTAAAATTTTATATTATTTGGATAAATATTTATAAAAATAAATTAAAAAACCAATTGTTAGTTTTTTTTGCTGAAATTGTATATCTATATAAGATTGAATCTTTTAAAAAATATATATATAATAATATAGTAAATATTAATATAATAAAATAAACAAATTTAAATAGTAAATAAAATTTCTTATATATTAAATAATAATCTCTTATATTCTTTATATAATAATATTAATATAAATAATATCAATAATATCAATTATTTTTTTGTGAAATTTATATAATATATAATTAATAACTTAACAATTATGACATATATGTTATATAATAAATTGGTAATCAAATTATTATATATAATAATAATTTAATTTTTAAAAGAAATGTAAATATTTATAATTGTTATTATAAAAATTTATTACATTTTTATAATTTTATATAAAATTAAATAGAAATCAATAATTCAAATTATAATTAATTTTATTTTATATTAAAAACAATATTGATTTTAATATTGATTTTTAAATAATTTATTAAAACAGATTCTATAAACAAACAAATATTTGATTATTAACATAATGTGATTACTTGCTATTCAAAAGATATTATTACTTGTTATTAAAAAAAGATTCTTATATTTTTTATACATAAGCTTTTGATTCATTTATAAGATTGATAACATTTGTTTAAAATAACAGTAATGGTAATAACAAACAAAATATTAAGAAAAATCAAAATATTAATAAAAATAATCAAACATTGGTAATTAAAAATAGTTGATTATAAAAAATTAATATTTAATAATTGATAATTAATTGACATTTAACATTTTTAAAAAATCAGTTAAAAAAGGTTTTAAGAGATATCACTTGAATGAAAATGTTTTTTAAAAAATCATTGAAATGATATTAAGGTCATTGAAATCACGTATCTAAAAGAAATTCATTAATTGATAATTTACCTCTTTCAAAAATAATCATCCATATATAAATTAATCATAATTAAGTTTGAAAAAATTCAATATTATTTATTACGTAACTATTATTAAAAAAAAACAAACTTTTAATTAATGATGCTTTTCCAGATAAACAAAATTTATCAGATGATGTTATAAACATCGTGATTAAACAAAAGGCTCGTGTATTATTTTCCTATGGAACTTGTAAAATAACAATAACAATAATATACTGTATGTTAATTGATGTATAAATAAAAAATAAATAAATAAACCATTCAAAACTACTCCTATTTATTACAGTATTTGGGAAATGATACAAAAAAAAAACCATGACAAAGAAGGTTATATTTAAATTTAAGGTATGTTATATACACGTATTAAGACTGTACCTACGTTTACTTTATTTCTAATAAAATTAATTAATGTACAGTATGTTGTGCAGTAGCAAGCCACCATTAATAAAATCAGATCGAGTAATATTGTTCGCGGACCATATCAGTTCATGCACACAGATACGCTTTGCTAACTTTCAAATACAAACGAGAATTGCAGGTTCTTTTTATTATTTATTTATCTATCTTTATTTTAAATATCAATTCAATGGAGGTGGACAATTATCGCTTCGAAAAAAAGAAAAAATAATGGTACGAGACTAGATGAATCGAGAAACCATGGGGTTGGTAACACGGACCACTCACGGTGTTTGAATCGAATTGCTTTTTTTTTTTTTTCCATGTGTACTTCCTTATCGGAGTAAATTCTCCTGGGATCTCGGTCAGAGAAACCGATTGACCCAGAATGATAAGATGGGATCCAGACTGTGTGGTCATATAGATTAAGAGAAAGAAAACCTACCCTGATGCAATGAAATTGACAACTATGAAGAGGAACCACCACGCGCAGGTACAAATTATCATGTACATCTCAATCATGGGTGAAGAGGGAGGAGGATCGAGGAAAAAAAATTATCCGACGGACGTGCGTATGTGCGCATATATTAAACGTCGAATTAAAAGATTGATCAGATATCGATAATATTCGGTGCATATTTTAAAATATTTTTTTCAATAGATAATGTTATTCTGCGTGGTACAGTAATATTAAACGTGGTCACACGTTTTATTTCCAGTACAAAGAAAATTAAGTGTTTCAAAATTTGAACAATCATTGTGTATCTATTTTCGGGTATAATGTCAATATTTATTGTTCAATGATATGATAGTATATATTAATTTATTACATAACGTGTGGATGTGAAAGAAATATCCTGCTGAGTAATAATAACAATTGACGGGCACCGCAGTCAACGATTCTTTATTTGTAATAAAGAAAAAATTTTTTCCTTGTACCTTAAGCGTAAGAACCTCATGAATAAACAAAAGTCGTAGCAGGTATCACAGTCAATTTTCATTGGTCCGTTCCGTTACCGAATAACGAGAAAAGGCATGGTTTACGTACGTACATCTTATGTGCGTCTAAGAAAAAAAGAATGAAAATTAGGTTACTGGATATATCACAAATCATTTGTTTTTTCACATTTTTTCTTCTCCGATCAAGTTCTTGTGGCGTTTTACACGAGAAGTTCGTTGGCAGCAGGTTTGACGGCGAAGACTGGTACGTAAAAGTATAATTACCCGGGGAAAAACGACGGTGTCTGAACAAGGAAGTAGGCATATTTTATTTTGTCAGTCAATTTTGGTTATCCGCAGTGCAATTTAGCTTAAAACGGTGTGGCATTTAAACGCGCCCCATGTGTTCGCCTATCGAAATTTCAGGTAACACGATGACTAGACCATCATCTTCAAGAGAGACAAAACCTCTTTCTAGCCTCTTTCTATTCACCCATTCGTCACACACTCGAAGCTGATGGACCGGGAAAACTTTAGTTGTAATTACTGAAGATAAACTGACGATGAAGGTGCATTAATCGGATGAACGTTGAAACTTAGATTACTTTTTATTTAACCTGGAATCACTGGGGTTTAACTCGTTGCTTATTGGTGCCACTTTCTAAATATGTGGAAAAACATTACCATGCGATTTTTCCCTTGCAGTTAGCTAAAGACGTTATACAAGATTTCAATGTCGATCTGCTCAATATGAGTGGATATTTAAAGGTTTCCCACCTATTTCCGCAAAAATTTTTCTTACCCCTGGTGCCGTTTAACCTTAAGCATTTCGAATTTGCCTCATATCATTAAAAAATTTTGCGTAGACACGTTTAACATACACACATCATGGGAAATTGTGGCTGTCGCTGCGTAAAACAACTTGATGATAACTATCAGGATGAATTCAACGCTGCCAACGAGATTCCTCTTACAAATTTAAACTCGATTCCAAACGAACCATTTCAAACGATTTACAATGAAGACGAAAATCTGAAATATACCCTTCATCAAAATGAGGAAATAACAACGCAAGCACAATCACAACACCATGTACATAGGTTTATATGGCAAAGTAATTTCTCTTCGCCGGTAGAAGAGTTATTGAGAAAGGGAAATGCGAGAGTTCTGGACGTTGGATGTGGAGAAGGTCCATGGGTCTTGGATCTGGCCTCGGAGTTTCAGTGGAGCCTTTTCACGGGCGTTGATGTTTCTCCTGTGTTTGATCACAAAATTGGGCAGTTAAATGCAACTTTCATAAAAGCAGACGTTCTCAATGGTCTGCCTTTTGATCCTGATACCTTCGATTTTGTCCACGTTGGGTTCGTCCCCTTTTCTGAAAAACAATGGCAGGAAAGAATTGCGCGAGAACTGGTTCGCATGTGTAAACCCGGAGGGTGGATAGAGGTGATGGACAACGACAATGAGATTTGTCAATCGGGACTAATAACGAAAAAACTAGATGCTGCGTGTACGTGTTTTCAGCTTCATATTTTTCACGCGTCAAGCTGATTATTTATTAAATCCAAACCATTTTTTCGATAGATCGAGGATATCTCACAGTCAAATCCGAAAATAATGAACCGTTAATAAACCCGCGATTTGAAGAATATTTGACCAGCACAGGTCAAATAATAAATATAAAAAGGGAAGAGAAAAGTTGTAATTTAGGAAGTCGAGGAGGACAATTAGGAATTCATTTAGTACAGGAGATGATTGCCAAGTGGGAGAGAGCGAAGGAGGTAATGTCAGAACTCATGGGCGTCACTATAGAAGAGTTTAATGCTCACATCCGAACATTTGAGAAGGAGGTTAACGACTCCAAAACTTACATAAAATACTTGAGAGTTTACGGCCAAAAAAGTAGTAATTGATTCTTTAATTATTTTTATCTTGTATATTTGTATCGTCATATACTGTAATTTATTTGCACTATCAAAAGATCAAGTTTTTACTCCTCTTTGAGGAATAGTAAATAAAAAATAAAACGCGTTTTCTAAAAATAACATAGGAAATGTCACAAGACGTTTCTCTCAGGGGAACATGGTTGGAATCTGATTCTGAATGGTTGAGTGAGTACCAGGGATCCAGAATCACAAATGTCGAATGTTCCTAATTAACCTATAATTATTCACGGTCCTTGTTACACAAGCTTAAACAAGTCTTATTCAATTGAAAAATTGTGAAGTTATAGGATATTACCTTATATTCCGAATTAATAATGAGCAATGACAATTACCTGATGAAACTGGAGTCCGGAGTTTCTGTAGCGCGAAAGAAATACTAACAATCGTAAAGCAAGATTCGAAAGCCTCTTAAGTACCACTAAACAGGAAAGAAAACATCAGCTTTTTCCCAATCGGGATTGGCGCGTGAAGAACATAAGAATAGAATGATCTACAATTATTATTGTGCCCGGAACGCAAAGCATGTACTGCATCAAGATGGAATTGAATTCGTGAAACCATCATGGAAAGATTTATTTATGTATTTAATAATAATAATATTATTATTATTATTCGATATTCTGAATATTCTAATTAGACAAGGAATGTTGCCTTAAACAAGGATACATTAAAGTCATATCTTGCAAAATTTTTTCAATGAAATTTTAGGTACAACGCGCTATCTTTTGCACAAAACTACATTCGCACGTAAACAATACCTTGATCTATTCTCAATCCTTACTACTGAATCTAACCTTTTTGGGTTTACAACCAACATAATAATTTCGATAATTATAACTGTCCAATGGTGAAGTCCCGATGACCTCTCAAAAGCGTGTGATTTATGTGATTTATACATGTTATCTTCACATTTCAACTTTCTTTTGCGCAGTAGCTATCATTTCACATTCTGGAATGTATGCAAAAATTGATTTTTAATATCGCCTTCTCAATAGTGAAGCACAGGGAAAATCGTTATGCTTACGATACGCCATCCCATCGTCCCTATGAATCCAATGATCAGCATTAGAATCGACGTTATAGGTGGATTTGATGTCTGCTCGTTTCTGACGTAATTCTTCTGTAGAAACTTTGTATCTTGAATCACGATCCTCAAGTAATTTTGGAGAGATTTGATTGTCCTTAACAAACGACATCATTAATTGTGGGGGACCTTCAAATTAAAAGGAATGAACAATGTCAAGTCAAGCGCTGATAAAGTAACGACGACGAAATAGAGATGAAAATATAAACCATATGGCAAGGGATCCCCTCGATCGACTTGCCAAAAATGCCAGGTCTACGGATGAATTGAAGCAACCGAGCTCGTTATAAACGATAAATGAAAAGGTTAAAATCAGGTAAAAAAAATTACCTTTCCGTAAGTGTTAACGAGACCTTCCATAACTTTTTTCTCGGTCGCATCAGCAAGAGCATTAGGGACCATATAGTTGAATGGGAGGGTCAACATTCCCGACTTAACCTACGTATACTTATCGATTAGCAAGGCTTCAATTTGTCAATAAATGTCACACATTGTTCACCTCGTATACGTGAGAATGCCAATATTTCTTTTCTTCTTCGGGAAGAGCTATCGACGACGAGAGCATATAAATCGCATCAGATCATAATGAAAATGAAAAAAGAAAATGACAAAAAAGAGAAAAGCTGGAACATCACGTACTCAGATAAACCTTATCTGAAATTATATACTCGACGCCGATCAACTTTGCATCCTGTTTATCGGAATCATAAATCAAGCATTGGCGAACATCTTCGTTTTGATGACTACAAAAGTGATGCGCTTCAACTTGACGGGTCATATCGTGGCTGGACGGAAATTAATTTAGAAAATTTGGATCGGATGAGGAAATTTCGGATAAACCGCAAACATTCTACCTGTAAAAATGAAAACCGCAAATGTGCTCGTGAACTCCCTTAAGAGGATCAAAACTTTGGATAGCGTTAGCCGTGAGTTCCAACATGTTGGTGAAAGTGGATTTTTTTTCCCCAGGAGGACAATAACATTCTTCTGTGGGTCCGTTAATGGTTAATCAAACTCTAAAGGATATTCTTCGCCAAAAGATTCCAATTAAATTTACCTGGCTCTTTATCCGTCATTTTTCTCAAATTACTAATTTTCTCTTTGCAAAATCGATGAATCTTCACATGTATTTATAACAATCGTAAGATTTGATTACATCATTTTAATTTTTTCGGCATTCGAGAAGGGGAATGAATTACAATTGTCATAATTGTGTAATAGACTCGAATGTTTCGCGAGTTTGAAAATTATTCTCACCGGAGATAAAGCCACTGAATTTAACTATCATATTTTGCGGAAATATCAATAGCGCTTTGACGGGTAATGTAATGATTACATACTGTGGGTAGTTAGTTATCAAGGCTCGTCACTCCTGTTAATTTTACTTTATACAAAGACAAAAGAAAAGATGTCATATTTAACTCGTCTTTACGTCAACTTTATTTCAATTCAAAATTGTTAAAATATATTCTTTAAAATAATTGCTTTAGTATAGACATACTGTAACAGTATATATTTTCTATTGATGGTTTTATAATTTTCTTAATACAATTGATACATATACAGTAATTATTTTATAATGAATTTTCCAGTCTATCGAATAAATTTAAAAGTACATGCACCCTGACAAAAGATACTATTATTCTTTATTGAACGTTATAATCTAAATATACAGACTATTTACAGTATATACAGTATATCAAGATAACATCATTAGTTATGTTATCCATTTCACACAAACTATTTTCATTTTAATTTTATAATAATCTTTTTCAAATTTAATAAAATTTAATAAAATAAAAAATTTATGAAATTAATGATAATAATAATTATTTCTATATTTATATGAATTAATTAAATTTATACATTTTTTATTTTTGTAAAAAATTAAATAAGAATTAATAAATACAAAATATTTTTTTTTTTTTTTTTTTTTTTTTTTTTAAGTTGGCTAAGGGCATTAGATGTGAGACTTTATTTACTAATTGATAGTATTGTCATTACATCAAACATCTTTACAGACTAAACTATTGC